ATTGCTTATATGTTAATACATGTGAAATCAATAACAATCATTCAAACCAAATGAAAAAATTAAATAATCCTACAAACCAAAAGAGTATTTTATGATACTAAATAGTAGTGAACAGTGCAATAATCTCTAATCAATATTGATTTTACAATCCCATCATCCAATCCAAAAGAGCCCATATAGTTTCTAAAATTTCTCCATAGTAGGGTTCTGCACTCCTCGACTATGGGGTTTGTCCCAAACTCCCCGTGAATTATAAAATATATTAAAATGGCCCCTCTGTTTTTAGTCCCTTTTTATGTGCTAATGCCTAATATGGCGAATTGACTTTTATTTATTCCTAGTCACTTACCAAAAAAAAAGAAGATCCTGCACTTTTTTGACAATTTTACCCTTCACTTACTATATATGTATATTTGTATATTAAAGTATATTTGACAATTTCTATTTCAACTTTTTTTCTTCATGTAATTGTGTTTTTCATTATTTTGTCCAAAAAAATTATTGTTTTCTTAAAAGTCGATTTTGAATGTTTTTTTTAAGCCGCCATCCATTTTCGACACAGTCGAAAATGTGTGTCTTTCGACGCATATATGTCGAATAAAATAATAATAATAGATATGCAATCGATCTAGACAAAAGTGGAGATCTTAAGTAAAATTGTAAAACACACACACATGCGTTTACCACGTCAGAAATATTCCCAACAAAAGAAGCTTTATTGGAATGGGTTCGTGAGTATCTAAACAAATAAGAATGGTAATGATGATCGCGGGTTCGAATGACAGGGAGAAAAGACGTATGAGACCATATGTGATTGTTGGTTGTGAGCATGGGGGCCTTTATGCTGGCAGGAAGGTGCCCGGTGAAGATCGTCAAAGACCGGGAAAAATGAGCACCAGTTCTAAGAAATGCAATTGTCCGTTTAAATTGAAAGGGACAAAAGAAGGCAAGGAAGATGAAATTGTTGAGTGGGAATTGACTATTCACAGTGGTATTCACAAACACAACTTGTTTGGAAACTTGCAAGTACACTCTTATGCCAGAAGATTATCAAAGAAAGAGACATCACTTGTTCAAACTTTGAGGAAAGCAATGGTGAAACCAATGGAAATTCTAAGACTATTGAAGAAAATGACCCGTCCAAAGTAACTCATATGAAGACAGTTTACAATGTTATCCAGCAGATAAATTTCAACGAATTATCTGGGATATCTCAATTGAAACTATTGTTCGCCAAGTTGAAAGAAGATGAATGCCTCTCGTACCATAAATCGAAAAGAGCTTAATGAGATTACCGACTTGATGTGGATCCACCCGAAATGCATTAAGTTGGCACAATCGTATCCGTACATATTCGTCATGGAGTGCACGTACAAAACCAATCGTTATGGACTCCCGTTTCTTGAGATTATGGGTTTTACGTGTACCAACTTGGCGTTCTCCATTGTTTTGCATACTTGGGTCACGAAAAGACGGAAAATTTCAAATGGGCGTCGCGTTGTTTGGTGGAGGCCATGAGAAATTGTCATCGGTCTAATTGCATTGTAACATATCGAAATTTTACTTTAATAAACGCAGCCGCCAATGTGTATCCATCGAGTCATCATTTGTTGTGTCGGTGACATATGAACGAGACTATATTAAAAAATAAAACATATGAAAAAAATAATAATTTAATATAAATAGTTATAATATTTTTTCGAAAATATAAATTATTTCTATTTGGAGAAATAATTCTACCAAAATAGGTATATTGAACTACCAAAGGAATGTGTATGTCAAAAATAAATAAAAATTGTAAGAGATAAAAGAACTTTTATTCATACCATTGAACAACACAGAAAGTCAACAACAGTCATCACTACATACAAATCACACACTTGCAGAACAAGAGGTCGAGACATTCTGTAAAAATGGAGGAAAATAGATAAGGGAGAGAGAGAGAGAGAGAAATGAACATAAAATGAAGTCCGAAACCTAAGAGAGAAGAGCTGTCAATGGAGGAAAAGAAGAGGAAAAGAAACTAAGAGAGAAGAGCTGTCAATGGAGGAAAATAAGAGGAAAAGAAATAAGGGAGAGAGAGAGAGAAAAAAAAAGATCCGACTTAATGGTGAAGATTTGAGATTAAATTGACGTGACTAGACGAGATTTTGTTACAGGTTTATTGTAATTATATAATTAGCCTCTATATTTTCAGATAAGTACATTTCCACCCTTACACCATTAGAGTTTTTTAGGGTTGTCCAGCCTTTTTTTCTTTTATATATAAGATTAGGCTCTTTATTTTCAGATAATTACATTTCCAGGGGCATAAGGATGAAAATTTTGTAAACAGGTTCTAAAAAAATAAAAAATAAAAATCATAAGCATAAGTATTACACGGGCATTGTCTTCAATTCTTCATGATCATAATGTATTTCCGATTATATTTTACATATGATAAATATTTATTTTTTCAATTTTGTCAACGATTACATTCCACCAAATAATTTTATGACATCACAATAATTGAAACGAATTATCATACAACGAAAACTCATTGCAAAACAAGAAAAAACCTGATGCAAAATAAATCAAGGCCACATGCCTTATTTTGTTGGGAAGAATAGGAAGAATGTTATAATGCTCTAACATTTAAAAGCTTGTGAACATGCATCCAAGTTTGCACTCATGATCATCGAAAGGAAGAATAAGAAATACAAGCCATCGTGAAAAAAAAAAAAAAAGTTAACAAATAAATAAATGGTCTTTACATGTATTCTTCACAATAACTCAAGTCCTTCTCTCACCATGCTTATCGATGTGTATTATGTTGTTGAAAGAAATATATAGCTTTATTGGAATGAGTTCGTGAGTATCTAAACAAATGAGAATGGTAATGATGATCGCGGGTTCGAATGACGGGGAGAAAAGACGTATGAGACCATATGTGATTGTTGGTTGTGAGAATGGGGCCTTTATGCTGGCAGGAAGGTGCCCGGTGAAGATGGTCAAAGACCGGGAAAAAGGAGCACCAGTTCTAAGAAATGCAATTGTCCGTTTAAATGGAAAGGGACAAAAGAAGGCAAGGAAGATGAAATTGTTGAGTGGGAATTGACTATTCACAGTGGTATTCACAACCACAACTTGTTTGGAAACTTGCAAGTACACTCTTATGCCAGAAGATTATCAAAGAAAGAGACATCACTTGTTCAAACTTTGAGGAAAGCAATGGTGAAACCAATGGAAATTCTAAGACTATTGAAGAAAATGACCCGTCCAAAGTAACTCATATGAAGACAGTTTACAATGTTATCCAGCAGATAAATTTCAACGAATTATCTGGGATATCTCAATTGAAACTATTGTTCGCCAAGTTGAAAGAAGATGAATGCCTCTCGTACCATAAATCGAAAAGAGCTTAATGAGATTACCGACTTGATGTGGATCCACCCGAAATGCATTAAGTTGGCACAGTCGTATCCGTACATATTCGTCATGGAGTGCACGTACAAAACCAATCGTTATGGACTCCCGTTTCTTGAGATTATGGGTTTTACGTGTACCAACTTGGCGTTCTCCATTGTTTTGCATACTTGGGTCACGAAAAGACGGAAAATTTCAAATGGGCGTCGCGTTGTTTGGTGGAGGCTATGAGAAATTGTCATCGGTCTAATTGCATTGTAACATATCGAAATTTTACTTTAATAAAGGCAGCCGCCAATGTGTATCCATTGAGTCATCATTTGTTGTGTCGGTGACATATGAACAAGAATATATTAAAAAATAAAACATATGAAAAAAATAATAATTTAATATAAATAGTTATAATATTTTTTCGAAAATATAAATTATTTCTATTTGGAGAAATAATTCTACCAAAATAGGTATATTGAACTACCAAAGGAATGTGTATGTCAAAAATAAATAAAAATTGTAAGAGATAAAAGAACTTTTATTTAACAAATAGACATACCGTTGAACAACACAGAAAGTCAACAACAGTCATCACTACATACGAATCACATACTTACAGAACAAGAGGTCGAGACATTCTGTAGAAATGGAGGAAAATAAATAAGGGAGAGAGAGAGAGAGAGAAATGAACATAAAATGAAGTCCGAAACCTAAGAGAGAAGAGCTGTCAATGGAGGAAAAGAAGAGGAAAAGAAACTAAGAGAGAAGAGCTGTCAATGGAGGAAAATAAGAGGAAAAGAAATAAGGGAGAGAGAGAGAGAAAAAAAAAGATCCCACTTAAGTGTGAAGATTTGAGATTAAATTGACGTGACTAGACGAGATTTTGTTACAGGTTTATTGTAATTATATAATTAGCCTCTATATTTTCAGATAAGTACATTTCCACCCTTACACCATTAGAGTTTTTTAGGGTTGTCCAGCCTTTTTTTCTTTTATATATAAGATTAGGCTCTTTATTTTCAGATAATTACATTTCCAGGGGCATAAGGATGAAAATTTTGTAAACAGGTTCTAAAAAAATAAAAAATAAAAATCATAAGCATAAGTATTACAGGGGCATTGTCTTCAATTCTTCATGATCATAATGTATTTCCGATTATATTTTACATATGATAATTTATTTATTTTTTCAATTTTGCCAACGATTACATTCCACCAAATAATTTTATGACATCACAATAATTGAAACGAATTATCATACAACGAAAACTCATTGCAAAACAAGAAAAAACCTGATGCAAAATAAATCAAGGCCACATGCCTTATTTTGTTGGGAAGAATAGGAAGAATGTTATACTGCTCTTACATTTAAAAGCTTGTGAACATGCATCCAAGTTTGCACTCATGATCATCGAAAGGAAGAATAAGAAATACAAGCCATCGTGAAAAAAAAAAAAAGTTAACAAATAAATAAATGGTCTTTACATGTATTCTTCACAATAACTCAAGTCCTTCTCTCACCATGCTTATCGATGTGTATTATGTTGTTGAAAGAAATATATAGCTTTATTGGAATGGGTTCGTGAGTATCTAAACAAATGAGAATGGTAATGATGATCGCGGGTTCGAATGACGGGGAGAAAAGACGTATGAGACCATATGTGATTGTTGGTTGTGAGCATGGGGGCCTTTATGCTTGCAGGAAGGTGCCCGGTGAAGATGGTCAAAGACCGGGAAAAAGGAGCACCAGTTCTAAGAAATGCAATTGTCCGTTTAAATTGAAAGGGACAAAAGAAGGCAAGGAAGATGAAATTGTTGAGTGGGAATTGACTATTCACAGTGGTATTCACAACCACAACTTGTTTGGAAACTTGCAAGTACACTCTTATGCCAGAAGATTATCAAAGAAAGAGACATCACTTGTTCAAACTTTGAGGAAAGCAATGGTGAAACCAATGGAAATCCTAAGACTATTGAAGAAAATGACCCGTCCAAAGTAACTCATATGAAGACAGTTTACAATGTTATCCAGCAGATAAATTTCAACGAATTATCTGGGATATCACAATTGAAACTATTGTTCGCCAAGTTAAAAGAAGATGAATGTCTCTCGTACCATAAATCGAACGAGCTTAATGAGATTACCGACTTGATGTGGATCCACCCGAAATGCATTAAGTTGGCACAGTCGTATCCGTACATATTCGTCATGGAGTGCACGTACAAAACCAATCGTTATGGACTCCCGTTTCTTGAGATTATGGGTTTTACGTGTACCAACTTGGCGTTCTCCATTGTTTTGCATACTTGGGTCACGAAAAGACGGAAAATTTCGAATGGGCGTCGCGTTGTTTGGTGGAGGCCATGAGAAATTGTCATCGGTCTAATTGCATTGTAACATATCGAAATTTTACTTTAATAAAGGCAGCAGCCAATGTGTATCCATCGAGTCATCATTTGTTTTGTCGGTGACATATGAACAAGAATATATTGGCTAATTGTAAGAAAATGTTCACATAGGACAATTCCAAGTGGAAGTAGTTTCAGTCGGCTTTTTCGGCTCTTATTGAATGAAATATCATAGATGAGTTCAATGAGAATTGGGAGTCAATGAAAAGAATAATTGTTAGTTACCAGCGGCTATAGCATACGTAGCCACTTAATTGTTGGATCCGTAGAAGGAGAGAATTGCATCTATGTGGACAAATAAATGTACTCATTTTGGAACGTACACTTCTAGGCGGGTGGAGAGGGAACACGAATGAATGAAAAAGGGATGTGCTAATTCAACTAGCACCTTTGTGGATTTACATGCGAAAGTCCACAACCGAATTCTCGAACAATACGATGATATCAAAGCTTCTTTTAAAGTAAGTAAAAATACTTACCTACACACTTTCAAAACGTTAATATACAATGAGCTTCGTGAATACATCTTAAAATTCACTCTGCAACAACTGAAAGTTGAGGTAGACTAGGCGAAACAGTTGCAACCGAGTGATATGTGTTGTAGTTGCGCCATCCGAACAACCCACGGTCTACCATGCTGCCATGAGCTTCATGAGTATATTGTTGTAAACAAATGTTCTATCCCACTTGAGTTAATAGGCTCGTACTGGAAACACATAAGTATAGAGCCCGTCGTGACCACAGACGAAGTTATTCTACCAACCATTGATGAAGAAATATTAGAATACCAGAAGCTCTTTCAATTTGGCGACGTCAATGCAAAGAATCAACATTGGTTCAAACCATTTGTTAAAAAGTCAACATTGGTTGAAAAGTCAACGTTGGTTAGAGAAGAGCAATATACCGACGCAAGAGTCGTTCAAATCATTGGTTGAAGAGATAGATCTAGAATTGCCGCCATGTTTGATCAGTAAGAATAAGTATATTGAGACGATCCATCCACGGTTTCATATCCATGTCCGAGAAATCATCAATGTTGGTTCAGGATGGCCATTGTGGAATTAGAGCAGTTGCCTCAATGATGGGATTTGGGAAAGATGAATGTGGTCGAGTACGAGATGACATGCTACGAGATTTGACTGCTAATTTTTCAATTTACATGAACATGCACTATGGCGAAGAAACCGTTAGAACCATGCAAATCGTTGTGAGCAACTGGGGCATCCGACGTGCTAGGAGGAGGTGGTGGTGGGTCATCCGGCTCGATCAATCTGGCGATGTTATTTAGTGTCCACCACATAACTGTATGGGCGTCGGATGGCGCAAGTCCGTACCTCGCTAAGTGTCCCCTTCACCAACTCCAGAATTTGCAAAAGTTGGATCTCCCTATCAGGACCCCCCCCCCCCCCCCCCCCCCCGGGACGAGCTTCACGTGGTCGATGTGAATGGGATCGATGCCTGGTGAGTTGTAATATGCATCGCGACCGGAACCAATTTATGTAGTCTGGTGAAATGTCCCCCTCCTCGAGTTTAACTTCAACGGACCTCGACTTCTCATCCAAACAATACTCCTCCAACCGATCGGAGAATCGTTTGCCATACGCGACAAATACCGAGTTTTGGACTGGTCGCCCTTTGTTAACCAGAGCTTTGTACATTGCCTTTGACATGTGTATAAGCCATGGAATAATCTGGATCCGGTTGAACTGCCTCAACACTCTGTCCAGATGATATGCCTCGAAGTGGTCCACGCAGCATATCATCCCACTTTAACCAAACAGACACGGGCAACGGGAAACGATCACGAAAAGCCGCTTATGGTGACCATATAACCTAATAAAATAATTTAAAAAACAATTTAGAAACCTACTCAAGTAGTAGTAACAAATTACTAAACTTGTATTTTACTTGATCGGGTATCATATCATCTAATCGAGATCATAAGTATATGGCTCGTTCAGGCATCGAAGTTGTCTTTGACTGAGGCTCCCATCGGCTGGCTAATGGCCCCTCGAACTCCGTCTTTAATGTGTCACCCGCCAAATACGGAAAGTGCTCGTAAATCCATGATTGGAAGAGCGTCAGCCAGGAAGCCATCGAGTTCGTTGAATTTTGTGAGGCTGACGATAGTTCATCGTTCAACCGGCAAAGACATGTAGTGCCCCAAGTATACTCGCCGATCTGATCCAAATCAGCGACGAGAACCCTTACCATGTTGTCGGTCTTGTCGCACAATATAGTAGACCCCAACAAAAATAACAAATACGCCCGAAAGGCGTATATCATCTTCTCCGCACTGTCTCTTCTGGTCACCTTTCTATATTTGGCCTTCAACTATTCCAACTTCACTACTTTCCTCTTATCCACATCTTCCGGGTACTCACCTAGCAATTCGAGCATCAAATTACTGGCATGCGTATTGGAATCACGTGTCAAACGTTCGCAAGATACAGTACGTCAAAAAACCGGCAAACCGACCAACGTGCTCACATCATCAATGATGGTCATCTCTCCAACAGGTAAATGGAACGTGTTGGTAGCTGGCTGCCATCTCTCTATGAAGGCTCTAAGTAGATGGTCGTCCACAGTGTTGTACGAGGCGTGTACAACTGACATCAATTGAGCTCTCTATATGGCCTCCATAATAAACGGCGTCGGCGCCCAGCCATTCAACGTCTTCGTGTGATTCCGAAATCGAAATTTGGCGCCGCACTCCGAGCACTCTGGACCTCCATCACAATATGATAAGCAACATGCTTATCAAATTTTATGTACAACTCCAATATCTCAGAGCCTCGGACCGGTTGGTTGCTCGAATTACCGACTTCAACAGTCGATGGGACAGGTAGAGCCGGCAGCGGATTCGTTGAGGAAGAACCCTCTCCAGACTGTGTAAGTGTACGGGTCATTTATATAAATGGTGTAATAGTAGAACTGATTAACAGAAATGGTATGGTTTTTTTGTAATTCACAAAAAGGGTGTAAAACTCCACTTGTAGAGGCGATTTCAGGCCAAAAGTCTGACAAGGCAGAAATCGCCACTAGGAGATGTGATTTTTTTTTAATCAATATATATATAATATTATAATTTTTTTTCTTTTCCAAATTGAGAATTTAAAATCTAACGTCATACATAATTAAATAAAAATTATATAAATGTAAGAATCCATATATATCAAATACACAATGTCAACTACTAAAAAAAAGAGCATCAATGACGTTCGAGATGTCCATCGGTCCCACATCTAGATGGACGCCAGTTTCTACTCACTCTACCCACTGGTTCTTGCGCAATATCATCTTCAATAGCGTGGCAACATAGTTCTCGATAGAATGACTTTGAGGTGATTGGAGGTGATAGGGAACGGGAGAAACATTGAAATGCCTATATGTAGGCTAGTCACCTTGGTAATATCCTAAATTGAGATCCAAAAATTCACTCCCTGAATACATGTTCATAGCAGGCTGGTATGGAGTTACTGGTGTTGGAATATAAACATCATCAGTAGAACCGGGATAAGTACCGGGCTCATTTCGAAGTGTGGATGGGCCGGCCTCATCTCGATATGAGGAATGACCGGCATAATCTCGGTACTTGGAAGGACCGGCCACATCTTCATCTCGGGAAGTGAAATCATTCCTTTTTCTTGTAGACCTTTGAGTGCAATTGTGAGTTCTTATTCTTCCTCCATCCGAGACACCCGTAGAAGGAATCTCGGTCCTGTTGAGCATATTGATCATAGGCTGCATTTCTGGCATATTGGTGTTCATTGAGGCTAGTCGAGTAGCCTGATATAAATTATAAAATAAGTTATAGAAATCGAGTAGTTTTATGTAATTGCATTATTGACATAAAATTACGTGCCACCAAATTCATAATTGTCCGATCTCCAGTCTGAAAACCAATGCTCGTCAAATCGTCAATCGGTGATATAAAACGACGAGTGTGCTCATCATACCATGCTTCAAATCCATCCTTTGTATCATGTCCATTGATTGGTTGAAATGGGACGACAGTCTGAAATCTTTGTTGCCATTTAGCAACATATGTACGCAAATACTCGCTTCAATCCAGACCCGATCGACATTGACGAGTCAAATCATGTAATTTGTTGGAAATAACAACATCTGTAGGATGTGACAGAATTGGCTGGACCATCCCGAACTGTCGTAATATTCTCTCCGGACGATGCATCTCCACTCGTGAATAACAAATAAGTTGACAACTAGACATCCAAAGTAATGATGAAACAATCGTCGAATCCGAAGCCAATTCTTGGTACTCAACATCAGTGGTGTTATATGGAATCCAAATGAGCTATAAAAAAATATTAGGACATTTGCGAATATTATCAACATCATTATCAACAACATTATCAACAATATTGAAAAAAAATATTTTCAACATTATTAGCAAATTCACGAACCTGGTTTGGCAATATGTGATCAAGCATTGTTCTATATATGCGAACTAAATGACTAGCGGTGTGAACATAACTCAAAGGATGCAACCAACTGCAATGTGTTATGCAAAGTACGTATATTAAAACAATGCATATATTAAGTGTAGAGTTAATTGAAAGATTTGAAATTACATGGAATTAGTTATAGTTAGAGTATTACCGTGCACCATATGGAGGTACTGGAAATACATCATCCGCGTTTAGTTGAAGTACCGTAATTGGATCGTAATCTCTAAGCGGTTTTGATATTGGTGCTATACGGCGAATTCTGGTCCATGCCACAACTGTAGTAGCTGCATCGGACATCCAATAACATCCCTACGCTCTCCTGGAAGTGTCGCCTTGCATAGCTCGTGATACAATACCGCCAATGCGGCACTACCCCAACTATAGGAACGAACTGCATCGATTTCCTCAAAAGGCTTCAAATACATCAAAGGTATAGCCTTTTCGGTGCTATCCAGAATCATAATCCCACCAAATAGCATAAATGCCA